TAAGTGATCATCTAGCTAGGTGATCTTATCCATGGGTGATCAAAGTGTCACCGATGAATGATAGTATCAGGAATCATGTAAGTAGCTGACGACTGATCGGGTCGTGAGGTGTAAAGCCTACAGCCCTTTGTTTGCGTGGCTTTGTGTTCGTACCGTAGGAACCACTCTGGCCTATATTTGGAGACATGACACCCTTTGACGCGTGCACTATTGTTTTTAGAAGTGTAAGTAAAATGTGGCACACGGAAAAAGCATTTAGCTGAAAATATAAAATGAGTAAAGATACTCGTACATACTAAAGCCTGGTCCGTGAGCATGTAGAATTTTGTCCAATGACCCGAAGCTACCCATCGTTATCGCTCTTGCGTAATTATGTTGCTGTCGCGCTCGCACACTCACTGCACGCGCCCGTCGCACAGTCGCGACAGCAATATAATTACGCGCGAGCGATAAGGATGGGTAGCTTGGGGTCATTGGACAAATTATTCTACATGCTCACGGACCAGGCTTTACCTACCGTTGGGACAGAAAAGTCCTCGAGTGGGGACCACGGGCCGGAAGACGTAGCGTGGGTAGGCCTCCCACTAGGTGGACCGACGATCCAGTGAAGGTCGCGGGAAGAGCCTGGATGCGGACGCCGTTTTATGAAAGGTTAAGGATCGGTCGTTATGGAAATCCTTGGGAGAGGCCTTTGTACAGCAGTGGACGTCATTTGACTGAAACGAACGAAGATACCTAGTCTTTAAAAATCTGTCACATAAGTAGGTACATAAAACGTACGCAGCGTCGGACGTCCACCCACAAAGTGGACCGACGAGCGCATAAAGGTAACAGGAAGGCGCTGGATGCCGCTATCAACCGGGCGATGTAGAAGTCATTGGGGGAGGCCTATGTTCAGCAGTGGACGTCCTGTGGCTGAAATGATGATGAGTACATAAAATACCCATCTACAATCTACATACTTTCAGTTCGTATTTTGGTTAAATAAAAGTTACTCGGCGCTGCCAAATATCAACCTGTCCCAAATGAAGGACTTAAGAACCACACATCGGTCCTTTATTTGTTCAACCTTGTAAATCACAAAATCTGATTTAATTGTAGCTCCATACATACCTTCGTGCGAACTCGTGACTCGATAACATCCTCGAGACCCCTCCAGCGTCTTGCAACATTGTTGCCGCAACATACTCGATCGACATACCTCGGGCGATATAAATATTTGTGGTGTAGTGAAGTCTAGCAGTGTCCCTTGTGTCCCGATAAAAAAGAACATCTAGGCTGTGGTGTAGTGCGGTTGGTTAACAGTGTCACTTGTTGTGTCCCGACACACTCGATAAAAAATAATCGGCTGTGCCACTTGAAGAAACAGTTTTGGCCCTTGTGTCCCGACTAGAAGAGATATCTGTCCCACCACCATGCTTGAAGACATCATACCTTTATGGAGTGTTGGAGTCTTAAACTATGTATTCGACGTTGGCCTTGCTGTCCAGAGTATGATATTATAGGTATGATACCCATACGTATTCAATCATCATCATTTCAGACATTGGACGTCCACTGCTGAACATAGGTCAATGATTTCCAGGGTTCTATATTGGCTCANAAAGGTAGTAGCCCTTATGGCACTTTACATAAGTATCTCGTTATCTTTTGGGCTCTACCAGCGCTTCGAGATCGATCGAGACGAGACAAACATTTCAAATGGAACTCGCAAAAATTAGGCTCCTTGAATCTATTTTCATAAAGCTTGTAGCTAAAAATAACAATAAAAAGAACTATTAATGGCAACCATTTAAAGTCCAGCCACCAAGCAAAACAGAAATAGAAACAAATAACGCGTTAAAACAACTATTGTTCGAGAAACCAACAAATAGCACGACGCAGCATGCACGACGCTGCATTGGTATGGACGCGCGCGACAATGCGCCACGTCGCGTCGCACGACACCGCGCGACATTTCCGCCGGCACGCGCGGCGTGATTTGAAGGGGGGTTTTACATCGAACGATACCAGAAGAAAGAAGAAGCTTGGATATCGAAAGTATTGGGACTCCACTACACAATAAGACGTTCAAGATAGAAATAAATAGGTAAAAGGGAATGACTAAGTGGAATGATGATCGGGAAAGCTGACCTCGAGTAACGGGATAAGGCGAGGCAGAAGAAGATGCAAGAGGGAAGACAGTATCTCATTCGATCTTGAGTCTTGACAATAGAAACTTTAAGGCGATTTGATAACATCTGACAGTAAGTTGACCACTTGCCTTACAAGCTACAACACCCGTCCCTAAATAGCACTGAATCCACTGGTGATGTATGGCCTGAAGTGAACATCTTATGTTTGTATAAAAGGGCACTTACAAATAAAGTAGGTCATTCGCTGGACCGACGATCTGGTGAAGATCGCAAGCACAGAACATATTAATATAATTATTAAGAAATCATGTTAGCTGACGACTGATCGGGTCGTGAGGTGTAAAGCCTACAGCTAGCCCTTTGTTTGCGTGGCTTTGTGTGTACCGTAGGAACCACTCTGGCCTATATTTGGAGACATGACACCCTTTGACGCGTACACTATTGTTTTTAGAAGTGTAAAATGTGGCACACGGAAATAGCATTTAGCTGAAAATATAAAATTAGTAAAGATACCTACTACCTACCGTTGGGACAGAAGTTCTCGAGAGGCGACCACGGGCCGGAAGACGTAGCGTGGGTAGGCCTCCCACTAGGTGGACCGACGATCTAGTGAAGGTCGCGGGAAGAGCCTGGATGCGGACGGCATTTTATGGACGGTTAAGGACCGGGCGTTATGGAAATCCTAGGGAGAGGCCTTTATCCAGCAGTGGACGCCATTTGACTGAAACGAAACGAACAAAAGATACCTAGTCTTTAAAAATCTGTCACATAAGTACATAAAACGTACGCAGCGTGAGACGTCCACCTACAAGGTGGACCGACGAGCGCATAAAGGTAACAGGAAGGCGCTGGATGCAGGCCGCTACCAAACGGGCGATATGGAAGTCATTGAGGAAGGCCTATGTTCAGCAGTGGGCGTCCTGTGGCTGAAATGATGATGATTACATAAAATACCCATCTCCATACTTTCAGGTCGTATTTTGGTTAAATAAAAGCTACTCGGCGCTGCTAAATATCAACCTGTCCCAAATGAAGGACTCTTAAGAACCACACATCGGTCCTTTATTTGTTCAACCTTGTAAATCACAAAATCTGATTTAATTGTAGCTCCATCCATACCTTCGGCGAGCTCGTGACTCGATAACATCCTCGAGAACCCCTCCAGCGTCTTGCAACATTGTTGCCGCAACATACTCAATCGACATACCTCGAGCGATATAAATATTTGCGGCGTAGTGAGGTTAACAGTGTCCCGTGTGTCCCGATACCTTTGATAATAAAGTACTAGCTGTCCCACTTGAAGAAACAATTTTTAGCCCTTGTGTGTCCCGATTGGAAGAGCCATATGTCCATCATACTTGAAGATACTTTTTTGGAGTGTTAAACTATATTTCTAAAACGTCGACGTTGGCCTTGCTGTCCAGAGAATGATATTATGATCCCCATCTACGGTGATCACTAATCAGTGAGTTATTATAATTGATCATCATCATCATTTCGAACACTGCACGTCCACTGCTGAACATAGAACATCAGATTGCCCGATAGCTGGACCCAGCGCCTTCCTTCCAAAGTAAACCAAAAAATTATTTGGTCGTCCCAATACTGGAATACTGAAATATTGGTGGAATTAAAAAAAATATTTGTCCCACAATTTTGCAACTGACATCACTACTCCATGGATTACATCGCGGGCAGGACGATATGATCAAATATGCCAATTAATTAAGAAAATATGCGAGACGACTCGACCACTCCAAGAAAGCATTCTGAATTTCAATTATGCTGGCTGGACGCTTGTTATTGTTTAGCTTTAAATAGTTGTAAGTATATTGGTCTTATTTTATATGATTATTATCTGGTTATAGTGACTTACAACCGTTTAATTTTAATACTTTCCACCTACTTGTCGTGCTGTAAGAGGTAGGAAAAATGGTTTTGTTCTAGCATCCCTTTTTCTTGAATACTACTAAAACGACAAAAAGCTCATATTTTGGGCACATTTACATTACTCTAGTACTCTCTAGTAGACTATAGTATTTGTATCATTAGATTTTTGAAAGGAGACATTTTGCTGCGGTAAAGCGCACACTACTTACTCATCGTTAGTGAGCAAATGCGATTCGGAAAGACACGTTGCTATGAAAAAACAATCAGACGCATATTACTCGTCAAATAAATAAGTTTTCGTTGATTGCAATCTTGCACTAAAATCTAAATAATGAAACTAGAAATTGTTTGAATAATTTTATTATAGAAAAATATTAGTTGTAAAAATTACTTTCACGCTAATCTCATGCACTCTTCATAAGCACTCGATATCTTCATGAAGTCGGTTAACAACTATCACTAACCTTTCACGTATTGTTTTTTGTATTAATTACAAAATATCGTAGCTCAGTCTTAACTCTCACACATTACAAGTACATAAGCAATAAGCATACTCTTAGTAGGTACAGAGAATATATTTTTTTTCCAAGATTCCATAGACTTCGTTATTGAGAAAGTGGAAGATCTCTTATCTCATACGTTGTGTGGTTTTGCGCATAGTGTAAATCGTTTACATAAACTTCAGTATTTCGATTGATTGATATTTTACGTACTTACGATCTTTAGGTATACCAAGCCCCACACAAATAGTTCATGCCTGTTTTCACCACCAATCGCTATTTTTTAAGTGTCCCCTTTAAAAACAAAATTCCTGTTGTGTTACCATAGGGGTCACTTAAAAATTAGGTATTGGTGGTGAAAACGGGCATCAGTCTTTTGGCCGGTGCTAAAAAGACTATGGCCCGTATTCACAAACGATGCTTGCTTTTGCTTAGGTGAAGCAGCAAATCGAACAAACAGCGTTGAATAGAGCTCTGTGATTGGTTTGTGTGTCACCCTGTGCGTCCACGCGCACTGTGAGACCTCTTACTAATGTTTGTGAGTACGGGCGTATGTAACGTGTCCTGTAGACCTAGGATGCGCGCCACGATAAGCGTTTATCGCGCCATTTTATCGATTTTACGCGATAAGCCCATACATTTGTCGTCTTCGTCGATAAGATTATATCACGGCGCATCCTAGCTTAGCAAATTAAAGTAAAACATTAGCATCACGTATCGAGTATGAATATCTCTTGCAGCAGCGAGTCCTCGAAGGCGGTAGGAAGCGGCGCGCGCTGCGGGGATGCATACCGCCACTCCGTCGTGAAACTCCTGCGCAAAATGGAACGGTATTTCTACAGTCAGCAAGTATAGAACCTGACCATTTTTCTAAGATAACAAAGTGAAATAAAAATCTTTGTGTTAAATTTTGACCACCTTGAAAAAAGGTAAAGCCCGGTCTGTGAGCACGTAGAATTTTGTCCAATGACCCCAAGCTACCCATCCAAATCGCTCGCGCGTAATTATATTACTGTCACGACTGTGCGACGCGCGCCCGCAGTGAGTGTGCGAGCGCGACAGCAACATAATTACGCGCGAGCGATAAGGATGGGTAGCTTGGGGTCATTGGACAAAATTCTACGTGCTCACAGACCAGACTATAGTAGGTTTATTGGGACTCTTAGACTATTATCACACTGCACCACGCGCGGCACAACACACTGACAACGCGTCTGCGCGCGGGATTTTTTATATGTACCCACGCGGACCGCGGCGGAGCGCGGTGCAGTGTGATAATCGCCTTAATGTCTTCTTAGCTTTTACCCTACCAGCGCTTCGAAACATGTTTTACTCTATTTACGAGTAGTTCCTCAAATACCGAGTTTAACCTTATTTAAAGGACCTACTTTCTAAATTAATTAGGTGGAAGTTGAATGTCCATCAGCTTTTCAACTATAGTGTGGCGTCTCTTTACAAACAAATAAATTAAAACAAGTGAAAAACAAAGGTATATAAAACATTACAAGTCAACAACACGGTATCGTAATAAACACATTTATTTCATACAAATCAACATACAACTTATAACCCATACATGCATAAATGCACTATGTACACAAAATGCTACAAAACTAAGATTGTAAATTCTTATATATAAATACAATATATAATAATTACATACAATCAAATGGCAAGCAATAAAATATTCAAGTGATTTATAATAAAACTACATAAAGAACAACCAAAACCAACACCATAAGTAAAATACGAATACATAAAATAAATACAAATTTAAACCATAATAAGCTACGCAGCTTAAGTTACTTATATTTTTAACAATAGCATTGTATTTGGTATTCAAGTCTTATTCATTCCAAAAACTACATTTTACATACACTTTTACTAAATACTTGTTAAATGCTACAACTTAAATTGATTTCAATTTAGAATTACCTTATAAAAATTAGTATTTTAATTTATACATATAATACAAATATAAATTGTGACAGCACTACATAATGTCATAATGAAACCGATATAAGATTAGTTATCACAGTTTGATCATTCTAACAAATATACAAGCCCAGACAATCTATATTTACATACAACACTTACACAATTAATAAGAACTTTTGTTCTATAATTAATGTTAAAACTAGATTTAAATTGAAGCAAAAACCTATGATTAGTAGAATTTCAATATCTCAAACTAATTAAATACTCAAGTTCCTTCTTGAATATAATTTCATGACTTGAATGTTGTTTGAAAATACGAGCGTATTGCCTACCTCGTGTGTATTTACCGCGGTGTAGCTGTTAGCCAACTAAACATTAATTGCTAGCCAGTAAACCAGCTGCTCTGCATGTATATTTATATTGATTCAGTTGATCACTAACTGCTATCCAGCTGATCATTAACTGCTATCTAGCTGATTCCTGACTGCTATTCCAGTTGATCACTAGCTACTATCCATCTGATCAATAGCCGCTATCCTGCTATCCATCTAATCACTGGCTAGTATCCAACTGATCACTAGCTGCTAGCCAGCATACCTAGCACTAGCGGCTAACTAGCAAGCCCCATAAACACTATCTGCTAGAAAACCGGTTAGCCATCTAGCTACTAGCCAGCTAACCATAGCAAGCTGCTATCCAGTTTATCATTAGCTGCTATCCAGCTACTCAGTAGTCACTGTCCAGATAGCAAGCCACCGATCTAACCAAGTCTCTAGATGCTATCCAGCTGATCACTAGCTGCTAGCTAGCTTATCACTAGCCAGCAAGTCAGCTGACGACTCGCCACCAACCCAATATCCACTATCTAACCTGTTGCACTAGCAGCACTAGTGGTCATCTAGCTAGCCACAGCAAGCTAGCCAGCTTCTATCCAGCTACTAGCCAGCTAGCCGCAGCAAGCCAGCAGCAGCCACTAGCCGCTGTCCTCGCGGACGGCGTACCTCTCGAAGAAGTGCAGCAGCTCGAAGCACACCTCCACCAGGATGAGCGCGATGATCATCCATTCCAGCCGCACGTGGTGTCTGTCTGCTGCCCACTGGGAGACCAGCTCGACTTCTTGTAGTATTGTCAAACGACATTCATGACTCGAGTGTCGTTTGAAAATACGAGCGTATTGTCCTGTCTCGTGTGTATGTCTTAGTGTAGCTGCTAGCCAGCTAACCATTAATTGCTAGCCAGTAAACCAACTAGCCAAATAACAACTAGCTGATTTGCATGTATATCCAATTGATCACTAGTTGCTATCTAGCTGATCATTAACTGCTAGCCAGCTAGCTACTATCTGCTAGCTTGTGAGCTACTATACACTAGTCGCCAGTCGCTCTAGTCAGCTCAGCTAAACTAGACTCAAGCTGCTAGCCAACTACGATTAGAACACTAGCCGTTAGCCATCTAGACACTAGTCGCTAGACACTAGTCGCTAGACAGTAGTCACTAGCCATTAGTCGATAGTCAGCTAGACTGGACTGTAGGGGGCCGTTCAAGTATTACGTAAGCAGATTTCTTACCATTTTTTACCCCCCCACCACCATTGTCATCAAAAGTAAGCAAAGCACTTACCCCCTCCCCCTATGCTTACGTAAACATTTTTAGTTATAAATGTTTTTTATATTGTCATTTTGAAAATAGGAAAATTCATGAAAATATTAGGTTTAACTGATACAAAGGACAAAAAAATATAATCAGAAATAAAGAACATAACAAACATAATTGCATCAACATAAACACAAATGATAACTTTCAATGCTTACAATACATTTAGTATCCAAACAAAACACGCGCGCGGGAGGCCGCGTGTTTTGATGATATGCGGACTACGACTCTCAAATTTCAATGGGCAATGTCGGCACGAGAGTTAATTATTAGACAAGTGAATAGCGCACGGTAATTTCCCTAATGTGCGGTAATTCCCCTAATCAGTTCTCAAAGCGAGTGCCTACGCATATGTATTATTTGTGGGAATCCCCGAAAAAACTTAAATAACTAACGATGACGTAATCATCATCTAGACCCCCCTACCCCCCGTGTCCCATAAGGGCTACCTTTTTCTTTTTTTATTATTTTCTATTGACGTTCATAAGTGCCACTTGTGGTCTAAACTGAATAAATATTTTTGATTTTGATTTTGATTTTTGATTTTGTCATCCAAAATAAGCAAAACAGAGCCCCCCCCACCCCCCCTTGGTGCTTACGTAATACTTGAACGGCCCCTAGCCGCTGTCCTCGCGGACGGCGTACCTCTCGAAGAAGTGCAGCAGCTCGAAGCACACCTCCACCAGGATGAGCGCGATGATCATCCATTCCAGCCGCACGTGGTGTCTGTCTGCTGCCCACTGGGAGACCAGCTCGAGGAGTTCCACGCAGTGGGCCAGACGCTCGTTGAGGACCTGGAATACGAATAAGAAAAATTTTATTTAACACAAAAACACGACACAATGGACAAAAATAATAAAAGAAAACCACAGAAGTATAGGTTTTTGTGCCAAAAAGGTGCCATTGCCCACTTATTACTAGCGTTCTTTTAAAAGGCGCACCACTTTTACATAAATATTTTTACTAATGTGGGTAGTGTAAACAATTTTATGTGCAACATTTGAAAGATGAGGTGTGTCGCATCGCAGTACTGTCCAAGTCTTATAAGTACACTGACGCAAATAACTATAAAGTTTTGGAGCGATTGTTTTGAGNATTTTTATTTTCAGATCTTTTTTCTTCATAACATTCATTGATCATATTGTTTTAATTAATAATGTTGTTACTAAGAACATACTTCAACTCATAATGTTGTTGTTCAGAATAATTTACTTTATAACAGACATACTCGTGTCTTTAAAAAAATCATATATAATTTAATAGAGTAGATAAGCATGCAGAGCATGCAGCATGAAAGCAAGCATGCAGCATGCATTGGTATCTCCTCGTCTCCGGCTTTTAAATTACACTCTAGGGGTAGGGCAGACAAGACTACGTGGAGTCGGTTTTGCAGCGATTCGTTTCTGTCACGTTAGTTTTGTGGCACAAAATATTGCCATTTTTGGACCATTTCAAATTAATTTAATGTTAAAATACGATTTAATACGAATATAGACATCATGATTTTCAATAATATGGATAAATACACTTAGAGTAATACATTTATGAAAACAAATATTAGGATACATCACATTTATGAATATTATAGTTATTTATTCGAATGATTATGAGTTTCAATCATTAGTATAGAAAAATATATGAAAACAAATATTAGTAAAAACTAAGTGTATGATTAGTGATATTATGAATGTCAATGATTATGTTTTTAAATATGTAGGTTTTAAATTTCTTATGAAGAATGATCATTATGGTATCAAATTGTATGAGAAATATTTTCGGACCTCCAATGATAGGAATTGAAAAGTTATGTAAGAAAACGCGCTACCGATTTCCAGATTGGCCGATAGGTAGCGGCCTGCACCCAGCGCCTTTCTTCCAAAGTAAACCAAAAAAATATTTAGTCGTCCCAATATTTGCACCTGACATCACTATTCCATGGATTACATCGCGGTCAGGACGATATGATCAAATATGCCAATTAATTAAGAAAATATGCGAGACGACTCGACCACTCCGAGGAGAAGCATTCTGAATTTCAATTATGTTGACTGGATGCTTGTTATTGTTTAGGTTCAAAATCAAAATCAAAATTATTTATTCAGTTTAGACCACAAGTGGCACTTATGAACGTCAAATATAAAAAAGAAAAGGTAGCCCTTATGGGGCACTTTACATGTCTCCTTATCTTTTGGGCCCTACCAGCGCTTCGAGACAAACATATGGCAAGTGCTGAGAAGAATTAAATAGTTGTAAGTATATTGGTCTTATTTTATATGATTATTATCTGGTTATAGTGACTTAGAACCTTTTAATTTTACTTTCCGCCTAGATCCAATAGGTAAAAATGGTTTTGTTGCGGATACGGTTATACTAGCATTTGTTTTTCTTGAATACTGCTAAAACGACAAAGCTCTCGGGCTCATTTACACTAGATAGGACTCTTACTCGTAGTATTTTTATCATTAGATTTTTGAAACGAGATAACATTTTGCGGTACCGCTCATACTTCACATTGTTTGTGAGCAAATACGATTCGAAACGAAACATTGCTATGAAAATGTAATCAGGCGCATATTATTCATGGAGAATACGATTCGAAACGAAACATTGCTATGAAAATGTAATCAGGCGCATATTATTCATGGAGAGATAATTAACTTTTAAAAAAAATAAAACCGACTTCAAATGCGTGAACACAAAAAAAAAACTAAAAATTGAAAATATTGGGTATAAAAAAGTTCATCCCCAATTTTCCACCCTTGGGGGTGAAATATTTTCTTCAAATTCGCATGAAACCACCCTTTTGATAATACCTATTCAACAAAAAAATAATCGTTCAAATTGATTTATAATCGGCGGAGATATTGCGTATAAAAAAGTTCATCCCCAATTTTCCACCCTTGGGGGTTGTTTTTTCTATTATTAAATTAAAATGGGACCACCCTTGAGGTATTACCTATACGCAGAAAAAAGATTTGTTCAAATCGGTTCATAATTGGCGGAGTTTTCGCGTAACAAACATAGAAAAAAAAAACATACGGGTCGAATTGAGAACCTCCTCCTTTTTTGAAGTCGGTTGAAAATAAGTTCTCGTTCATTACATACATTCTAGTACTAAAATCAATAATAAAACGATGAAATTCATTTGAATAGCTTTATTATAGAAAAATATTTATTGTAAAAAATACTTTCACGCTTATTCCATGCACGCTTCCTAATCACATAATCAGTAGATAGTCGTCAATCTCCATGAGATCGGTTATTTCGGTTAAAGACTATCACTAACCTTTATCTTACGAATTGTTTGGAATAATTTTATAATATAACATAGCTCAGTCTTAACTTTCACTCCGTGTAGGTATACAGTGAATAAATTCCATTAACAGCTATTTATTGCGAAAGTGGAAAATCTTTTACATCAGTATTTCATCTGATTAATTTTAGATTATTTGTATTACCAACTAGCTGACCCGGCGAACTCTGTTCCGCCTTAAAGGCAATAAATAAGCCATCTCAATTTTTCCTTATTTGCTCACCGTTTAGACCTACCCTGGACTAGGTACGACAAACATTTTAAAGCCAAAATCAGCTCAATCGGCCCAGCCGTTTTCGAGTTTTAATCAGACTAACGAACAGCAATTCATTTTTATTTATATAGATAGTAACCTGAAATAATATATAGGTTAATCATACACCAAATGCTTTCGCCAAATAGCGCTTTAAATAATCCGATATTTTGTGTGCAAACCCTTTAAGTACTTATGCCAGCTATCCTACCTAGGATGCATGTCACGATATAATTTTGTCAAGACATTTTATCGATTTTCAGCCCTCGTATTTGTCCTCTAAAAGACGATGACATATCGTGGCGCATACTAGGCCGTTCAGTTTCATACAAGTCTTTTGGTAAGTGAATAAAAATTCATCCTGTATAACGCGCTACGGACGTTTCCTATCTATAAAAAAGTTCATCCCCAATTTTCCACCCTTGGGGGTGAAATATTTTCTTCAAATTCGCATGAAACCACCCTTTTGATAATACCTATTCAACAAAAAAATAATCGTTCAAATTGATTTATAATCGGCGGAGATATTGCGTATAAAAAAGTTCATCCCCAATTTTCCACCCTTGGGGGTTGTTTTTTCTATTATTAAATTAAAATGGGACCACCCTTGAGGTATTACCTATACGCAGAAAAAAGATTTGTTCAAATCGGTTCATAATTGGCGGAGTTTTCGCGTAACAAACATAGAAAAAAAAAACATACGGGTCGAATTGAGAACCTCCTCCTTTTTTGAAGTCGGTTGAAAATAAGTTCTCGTTCATTACATACATTCTAGTACTAAAATCAATAATAAAACGATGAAATTCATTTGAATAGCTTTATTATAGAAAAATATTTATTGTAAAAAATACTTTCACGCTTATTCCATGCACGCTTCCTAATCACATAATCAGTAGATAGTCGTCAATCTCCATGAGATCGGTTATTTCGGTTAAAGACTATCACTAACCTTTATCTTACGAATTGTTTGGAATAATTTTATAATATAACATAGCTCAGTCTTAACTTTCACTCCGTGTAGGTATACAGTGAATAAATTCCATTAACAGCTATTTATTGCGAAAGTGGAAAATCTTTTACATCAGTATTTCATCTGATTAATTTTAGATTATTTGTATTACCAACTAGCTGACCCGGCGAACTCTGTTCCGCCTTAAAGGCAATAAATAAGCCATCTCAATTTTTCCTTATTTGCTCACCGTTTAGACCTACCCTGGACTAGGTACGACAAACATTTTAAAGCCAAAATCAGCTCAATCGGCCCAGCCGTTTTCGAGTTTTAATCAGACTAACGAACAGCAATTCATTTTTATTTATATAGATAGTAACCTGAAATAATATATAGGTTAATCATACACCAAATGCTTTCGCCAAATAGCGCTTTAAATAATCCGATATTTTGTGTGCAAACCCTTTAAGTACTTATGCCAGCTATCCTACCTAGGATGCATGTCACGATATAATTTTGTCAAGACATTTTATCGATTTTCAGCCCTCGTATTTGTCCTCTAAAAGACGATGACATATCGTGGCGCATACTAGGCCGTTCAGTTTCATACAAGTCTTTTGGTAAGTGAATAAAAATTCATCCTGTATAACGCGCTACGGACGTTTCCTATCGGCAGAGTAAATACAAATGAGTAGGTTATCTTCATAGAAACGCACCGCGCGCGGTTTGTATGTGAGCGCGCCAATACGTATGCGGCGTGCACGCACACACTGACAAAATTCGGCGCAACTCCCCGCTAATCCATTTTGATTATAAATTTATTTTGTCAGTGTGTGCGTACGCGCCGCATGTGTATTGGCGCGCTCACATACAAACCGCGCTCGGTGCGGTTCTATGAAGATGTCTACTCACGGACATTGCCCGCGGGCGGCGTGACCGGAGGGAGCGGCGAGCGTTCGGCGAACGAACGAGCAATATTCGGTTCGCGAGCGAACATCTAAGAAGACGATCCTGACGCACTCTCTTCAACGACTTTGCACTAAACGGTCTCAATATCATTGTAAATTTATACCGAATAGACAATTAATTTTATACAGTCCACTCTTTTCATAACTTCCACTACACTCACTATCGAAGTAACAGAAGATAACCTACTCATTTGTATTTACTCTGCTATTGGGCAGAAATCAGAATTATAAAGTAGAAACTGATTTTAGCAAAATAGTAAAGTAAAGCATAGCATCACGTACAGTTCTGGATCTGTCAATAGGCCGTATAGGCCGCGGCCTAGGGGCGGCAGATTTCAGATGACGCTTACTCGATTTCAGAAGATAACAGTTAAATAAAGATCCAACCCCACCCTAGCCTACGGGCGGCAAAACTGTAAATTCGCCACTGATCACGTATCGAGTATGAATATCTCTTGCAGCAGCGAGTCCTCGAAGGCAGTAGGAAGCGGCGCGCGCTTCGGGGATGCATACCGCCACTCCGTTGTGAAACTCCTGCGCACAAGGGAACGGTATTTCTACAGTCAGCAAGTATAGAACCTGACCATTTTTCTAAGATAAAAAAGTGAAATAAAATATCTTTGTGTTCAATTTTGACCACCTTGAAAAAAGGTAAAGCCCGGTCTGTGAGCACGTAGAATTTTGTCCAATGACCCCAAGCTACCCATCCTTATCGCTCGCGCGTAATTATATTGCTGTCGCGACTGTGCGACTGGCACCCGCAGTGAGTGTGCGAGCGCGACAGCAACATAATTACGCGCGAGCGATAAGGATGGGTAGCTTGGGGTCATTGGACAAAATTCTACGTGCTCACAGACCAGACTATAGTAGGTTTATTGGGACTCTTAGACGATTATCACACTGCACCGCGCTCTGCCGCGGTACGCGGGACGACAGATTTAATCATTGTATGCAAGTACCTCAGTTTGTATAGAAAACATGCGCGGCACAACACACTGACAACGCGTCTGCACACGGGATTTTTTATATGTACCCACGCGGACCGCGGCGGAGCGCGGTGCAGTGTGATAATCGCCTTAATGTCTTCTTGGCTTTTACCCTACCAGCGCTTCGAAACATGTTTTACTCTATTTACGAGTAGTTCCTCAAATACCGAGTTTAACCTTATTTAAAGGATCTACTTTCTAAATTAATTAGGTGGAAGTTGAATGTCCATCAGCTTTTCAACTATAGTGTGGCGTCTCTTTACAAACAAATAAATTAAAACAAGTGAAAAACAAAGGTATAAATAAAACATTACACGTCAACAACACGGAATCGTAATCAATACATTTATTTCATTCAAATCAACATACAACTAATCTATACTAATAATATAAATGCGAAAGTAACTCTGTCTGTCTTGCTTTCACGCCTAAACCACTGGACCGATTTTGTTGAAATTTGGCATAGAGATAGTTTGAGTCCCGGGAAAGGACATAGTATAGTTTTTATCCCGGTTTTTGAAACAGGGACGCGCGCGATAAAGTTTTTCTGTAACAGACAAAATTCCACGCGGGCGGAAAGCTAGTAACCCATAAATACATAAATGCACTATGTACACAAAATGCTACAAAAATAGGATATAATGTAAATTCTTATACATAAATACAATATAATCATTACATACAATCAAATGGCAAGCAATAAAATATTCAAGTGATTTATAATAAAACTACAGAACAACCAAAACCAACACCATAAGTAAAATACGAATACATAAAATAAATACCCATAATAAAATACATAGTTATCTTATATTACTAATATTTTTATTAACAACTAGCTGACCCGGCGAACTTCGTACCGCCTTAGCGTAGAGATTTTCTTAATATTTTTTTCCGTAAGAACCATCCTTGGACTTCCACAAACATTTAAAAAAAAGAATTATCGAAATCGGTTCAGCCGTTCACACGTGATGCCGTGACAACGCGAAACGGGTTTCATTTTTATATATATAAGATAAGATAGCATTGTATTTGGTATTCAAGTCTTATTCATTCCAAAAACTACATTTAACATACACTTTTACTAAATACTTGTTAAATGCTACAACTTAAATTGATTTCAATTTAGAATTACCTTATAAAAATTAGTATTTTAATTTATACATATAATACGAATATAAATTGTGACAGCACTACATAATGTCATAATGAAACCGATATAAGATTAGTTATCACAGTTTCTTAGTTATCATTCTAACAAATATACAAGCCCAGACAATCTATATTTACATACAAACAGCACTTCTTAAACTACATTACTTTTACAACCTGCTTGATTACAATTATCTGAACTTTAATTATAATTAATGTTAAAACTAGATTTACATTGAAGCAAAAACCTATGATTAGTAGAATTTCAATATCTCAAACCTATGAAATACTCAAGTTACTTCTTGAGTATCATTTCATGACTTGAATGTTGTTTGAAAATACGCGCGTATTGTCCCACTTCGTGTGTATTCACCGCAGTGTAGCTGCTAGCTAGCTTAATTGCTAGCCAGTAAACCAACTAGCCAAATAACAACTAGCTGATTTGTATGTATATCCAATTGATCACTAACTGCTATCCAGCTCATCATTAACTGCTAGCTAGCCATTTGCCACTATTTGCTAGCTAGCAACTATTTGCTAGCCAGCGAGCTACTATACACTAGTCGCCAGCCGCTCCAGTCAGCTTAGCTAAACTAGACTCAAGCTGCTAGCCAACTACGAGTAGAATACTAGCCGTTAGCCATCTAGGCACTAGTCGCTAGACAGTATTCGCTAGACAGTATTCGCTAGACAGTAGTCACTAGCCACTAGTCGATAGTCAGCTAGACTGGACTGTAGCCGCTGTCCTCCCTGACGGCGTACCTCTCGAAGAAGTGCAGCAGCTCGAAGCACACCTCCACCAGGATGAGCGCGATGATCATCCACTCCAGCCGCACGTGGTGCCTGTCCGCCGCCCACTGGGAGACCAGCTCGAGGAGTTCCACGCAGTGGGCCAGACGCTCGTTGAGGACCTGGAAACAATAGGCGTGATTGTAACTACTCGGTAACACTTTCCCGGACAGTGAACTGCTATAGCAGTCATAACAATTAAACTTCTATTGTATCTGGGTTACTGTCCGGGAAAGTTTTAAGGACTTGGGAATGTAGTAGGCATGATGGAATGGAACTGATCATTAAAGTCACACAAACGGGACTATTCCCACCTCTCGTTCCCACCGCTGCAACTCCTGTGTAGCCAGGATCTATAGCTTGACCGCCATAAAAAACCCTGCCAGCTATCCAGCTGCATACTAACAGCTATCCAGATTCTGCTGCTATCCAACTGGACTCTAAGTGCAATCTAGCTGAACACTAGTCGCTATCCAGCTGCCCGCTAGCCGCTATCCAGCCGCCCGCTAGCCGCTATCCAGCCCGCTAGCCACTCACCCGTGTCCGCCGGGCGACGGTGAAGCAGGCCACGGTGCTGGAGTAGATCCGCTCGAGCTGCTCCTGCTCCCAGTACAAGTCGCTAGCCGCTATCCAGCCGCCCGCTAGCCGCTATCCAGCCGCCCGCTAGCCGCTATCCAGCCGCCCGCTGGCCGCTATCCAGCTGGTCACTAGCTACTATCCAACTGGTCCCTAGTTGCTATCCAATTGGTCACTAGCTGCTATCCAGCTGACCACTAGCCGCTATCCAGTTGATAAATAGCTGCTATCCTGTTGCTATCCAGCTAGCCTCTAGCTGTAACCAGCTGACCACTAGCTGCTATCCAGCTGCTATCCTGTTGCTATCCAGCTAGTCTCTAGCTGCTATCCAGCCGCCCGCTAGCCGCTATCCAGCCGCCCGCTAGCCGCTATCCAGCCGNACTTTGGTTCTCCTGCGGATCTCCTCCATTCTGATTCGATCACGCAGGGAAAATTGTAATTAGCGATCAAAAATTATACTACAAGAATAAAAATCTATTCAGAAATTTTGATATCGCAGCGAAATGCGAATAGGTGAAAAACTACAAGGATTTTTTGATTTCGAGGTATACGACTAACAAACGCTCTCAAGTAGCCTCCACATGTCTCATAATCTTTTTACCCTACCAGCGCTTCGAGACGACCATTGGCAAATGCAGAGATGAAGCGTATATTACATGTTACCGGACGAATCTCAATCTTGATTCAATTTGAACATACACAGGATAGTATCTATGACTGAAATTGAACTGAGTTTTGTATGTTTTTTTTTGTGATACGATACGAACTTGGAATCATCATGTGAACCAACATTCTTCAGATCTTGAATCAGCTGTCCAACACTAATCTGAATGTTTTTTTATGGATAACAAGGCAGGTATTTGACCACAATCGCACCTGATTCTTCTGAATTCTGATGGACTATTTAAATTGAACTTAAACCAGGCCTGTTCATCTCTGCGAGTTTACATCGAAAACAAAACACGCACGATGGCCCACCTACAGGATACTATTCGACAAGGCCTCACATACGAGCGAACATTGACTCACGCACGCGTATTCTTGTGTATGATGGAAGAAAATAAAGAACTGCAGTGTGCAGTGCTACTGTGCAGTATTCAACTGCCTAAATAATAATAAAAACACAGAATGTACTTTTTGCGAAATCGTGTTATTTGCTGATGACACATCTTTGATTTTTAATATCGATAGAAGTAAAAATAACTTTGACGATGTAAATAATGCACTAATAAGAGTTTTAAGTTGGTTCACTACAAATAATTTACAACTCAATGCAAAGAAAACAAAATGTATAAAATTCTCTTTGCCTAACGTAAAAACAGTTAGTACACAAATAGAACTTAATAATAATGCAATCGATCTGGTAGACTCTACTGTATTTCTGGGAATTACCCTGGATTCAAAACTCCAGTGGGGCCCCCATATAGAAACTCTGGCGGGAAAGCTCAGCTCAGCGGCTTTTGCAATAAAAAGGATACGGTCATTAACCGATGTTTCAACAGCTCGCTTAGTCTACTTTAGCTACTTTCATAGCCTAATGTCATATGGAATCATGCTATGGGGCAAAGCTGCAGATTTTGAAACAATATTTATTTTGCAAAAACGTGCGATAAGATACTTGTATAAAATGAAAGCAAGAGCATCCCTTAGAGAATTGTTTAAAGAAATTGGCATTCTCACGGCCGCTTCACAATACATCTTAAACTGTATTCTATTTATTCAAAAAAATATTACTGAATTCAAAAAGAAAAGTGATATTCACCAAATTAACACTAGAAATAAAAATAAATTGGCTATACCCGCTTTTAGACTTAATAAAGTGTTTGCTACTTTTATGGGACAAGGTATCCATTTTTATAACAAAGTCCCTGATAAATATAAAGAGCTACCGTATAATAAATTTAAAGATATAGTTAAAGATCACATGCTTAAAAAAGCCTATTATACAACTCGAGATTTTCTTAATGATAAGTCATCCTGGGAGTAGGATTATGGTCCTCTCATGCTCGCACTAAAAAGAATTAAAATGAAAAGTAATGTATAAACTAATAATAATTTCTCAAATGTTATAGTGTCATGCTTCTCAATCTGGACTGTTACTTAGCTTTATTATTAGTTTTTTTTTTAAAGAGATAACTTGGAATTGTCATTCTCACTAAAATGTCTCTGGGGTGGTGGCGTAGTGAGGCGGGTCGTTACATTCCCTCTAATATGGTCGAGTGAAGCGATGGCTGGTTCACTCGTCATGTCTGTGAACAGGCGCTGCTTTCGGGGACTGGTCAATCCAAGTTATTCAAATTTATGTATGCGAGTCATTTCTACTAGTATCTTAATATGTAAGTCTAGATATTAGCACGTCACTACCTTGTTTAATATACCACGCAATCTTGTATACCCATTCTTATAAGATACACTATACAAGAATGCATGGTAAATTCAGTGAACTGCTCCTGAATCGAATGTACCTACTACTACTATTTCTATTTATTTATATTATCCGGCAGACAGTGGTGACTGAGTTTGTTGCGGCGCTTCTTCTCAGCACTTGCCAAATGTTGGTCTCGAAGCGCTGGTAGGGTAAAAAGATTATGAGACATGTAGAGGCTCCTTAAGAGCAAAATGACGATTTGTAAGAACTATTTATTAGTCCAAACAAATAAAGAAATTTTGACTTTTGACTTTTTTTGACTTTTTAAGTTGCCTCAAGACACTGAGAGGTAAATAAGTAGCTAATATTATTCATGATAATTCATGCTAAATCATGTATTTCCTCCGCCATTTTCCGCAGTTTGGCACCTCACGTCACATCATTTTACCGAAGTCAGCCCTATAGCTTCGGCGCAGTGCCGATCACAAAAATCAGCTAAATAATACTCGCTGAAGAAACTCTTTTCTTTAAGTGTAGACACAGTTAATGTATAAGTCCACTATTGCATGCCGTGGCAACCTATAATTAAGGCAGCACTTAGATTAAGTTAAATACGTTGTAAATATTGATTGTCTTCCAGTGTATGTCTTGTTGGTTGTCCTATTAAATAAATAAAATAAATCACTGACGTTTGTCAACAAAATGATGCTTGACAGGCTAAATTACACCATATTGTTAATGACATTGAGCATACATTTTTTTAAAAAACTTCGCGAAGTAAAACTTCTGTACGTAGTACTTATTATTCTGTGGCTTTACTTACAGTGCAGCGCACGGTTCTCGCCATGCCCCTCATATTATTACTATAGTCTGGTCGCCGAGCACGTAGAATTTTGCCCAATGACCCCAAGCTACCTATCCTTATCGCAGTCGCGACAACAATATAATTACGCGCGAGCGATAAGGATAGGTAGCTTGGGGTCATTGGACAAAATTCTACGTGCTCGGAGACCAGACTTTAGAGGGCGTTAAATTAATGACTGCAGATGGGGGGCCGTCCNCCCCCCCCCAAGGGATTAATTACATAAGTACCAAAAGATCAACAATCAATCACAGACAAAAACTTTGACTAAAATTGAATTGAGTTTTCATTGTTTTTTTTTTTTGTAATACGATACGAACTTGGAATCGTCATGTGAAACATTCTTCAGATCTTGAATCAGCTGTCTTACATTATACTGAATTAATTGTGAATTCTGATGGACTATTAAAATTGAACTTAAACTAAAGCCTGGTCCGTGAGCACGTAGAATCCCGCGACAGCAACATAATTACGTGCGAGCGACAAGAATGGGCAGCTTGGGGTCATTGGACGGGATCCTACGTGCTCACGGACCAGGCTTTAGCTAGTGACATCCTCACCTCTTTCTTATCCACGTTGGCTGCTCCATGCCTCTCCATCAACGAGGAGTGTTGCCTGACTGCCGCCGCTAGGGCTTCCAGCCGCGACTCCCAGGCCCCCAGTCGAGCAGACTGGGTCATGGCGTGGCTGGAATAAAGAATTTCGAATCATATGCTGGAAGCTTGTTCGTTCGTTTCAGCCGAAAGACGTCCACTGCTGGACAAAGGCCTCCACCAAGGATTTCCACAAAGACCGGTCCTGCGCCGCTCGCATCCAGGCGCCTCCCGCGACCTTCACCAGATCGTCGGTCCACCTAGTGGGAAGCCTGCTCACGCTACGTCTTCCGGCTCGTGGTCGCTGGAGAACTAGAATGATGATGATGGCGTGATGCTGGAAGTGTAGAGTCCGAATTTGTGAACAGGTAGAAATGATGACAAAATTAACTGAAAGTAACATCAATGAATCAAGCCAACTGGCTCATGGTGTGGCTGTAAAACAAAGGATTTGGAATTTTAAACTCAAAACGTAGAGTTGGAAATTATAAGTTGAAATACTGGCATGTTTCTTTGTCTTGCCTTAGGTGGCTAATCTAGACGCCTGGGGACACAGAGCTTGGAGCATACTCTGTAGACCTGCTCCCAAATGATAACCTAGGCCAATGTCATGAAGGATTACCAATTTACAGAGTAAATATAAATGAGTAGCTCATCTTCATAGAAACGCACGGGCGCGGTTTGTATGTAAGCGCGCATGCGGCGCGCACTNGTATAACATATATTTTTTTCAACTATTTCTGTCCAGCAGTAAAAGAGGAGTAGGCTTTACAAAATGACCATTTCACGCGGATTGAGGACACTAATCGCCTTAAGGACTTAGGAACGTAATAAGCATGATAGTAACCGATCGTTAAGAATATGAGAATATAACAGGCATGATGGTAACCATTTTTTGCGAACTTGGGAGTCATTTGCATGATGGTATTCATTCTCTGAGGACCTGGGAGTTACCGATTGTAAATATTATCTAAGGGGTAGTATTTAAACGAGTGACTGTAAATTTATGTTGTAAGTGTCAAAAATAATTAATGTGGGCTAAATAATTACTAAGTGAGCGACTGAGTGCGAGTGACGAAAAATCAAAAGAACAGCAAATTGCAAAAAAAAATTGAGTTCCTTAAAATACAAAATGAGAAGCTTCATAATATTTGAGCGACCTAATATTTGATTGAGTGTCAACGTTAGGTCCTGCATTTTTTTCAATATTTGGCAAATGATTTTTTTATACTGAGCGGTATTTTTAACTGTAATGAAGTGTTTCGAATGCAAAAACTACTTTGAAAAATACTATTATGAGCAGCGTATTATGAGCCTACATTTAAATAAAAAATGATCTTATGAAATAAATATTTGACGGAACACTATTCTAGTAGCGAAAAAAATAAATCATTAAAATTTAAGGGTAGGTAATCAAATGAAACAATGTATTACGAAAAATGAAATAAATTTGAAATTTTCTTAAATCGAATCAACAAAAAAAAACAAAATAAAATAAGTCGCTTCTGTCAACCCAAAAAAAAGTAATCTTATTAATAAGGTTCATTGGTACCTATGAGGATTGAGGAGCTCTACCTACTCATTGTCACTGTATGATAAGTGCTGGCTTGGACTTAGCGGGCCCTCCTCATTTTCTTTTTTGTCCAATAGGTATCAGTTTTGCTTCCAGTGGCGGTGTTGTTAGTTTTAGCCGAATTGCTAGACCCAAAACAAACATTGCATACATATTTTGTTAAAAATTCGGGACAGTCGCCCCGCCCCCATTCGAATTCGCGCGCTGTAATAATCTGTAGTTTTCATTAAAAAAGCGTATCAAAATAAAAAACATGAGACCTCAAATATAATATCAGTAACCAATAATCATTAATAAAGCAGCTCACAAAATTTTGCTTAGAATTAATTTTTTTGTAGTTCGTTCAGTAAAACCTCAATTAGAAAAATCTAATGTATCTTCATATTAAAGTTGCTCTCTCTGTATTTCTAGTCGCTCACTTAGTAATTTAGTCGCCCGGATAGTATTTTTATGTCTGAAATGTAATAATTAAAACCCACATTTTGTAAGCTCGTTCTGGATTTTATTATTGATCAATATTCGTCGTTAGTTTGGTAAATTTTTCGCTTACTCAAATTCATACCGCTCAAGGTATTAAAACAGTATGCCATCATCAGTCGCAAAGTTTTTTTTTAGTCGCTCGTTTTATAATTCCCCTTATCTAAGTAAGTAGCTTGTGTCACGTTGTGGGTTCACCACAATAGTTCAGTGCAGAGGCGCTTCAGCATTCTTCGAACCTTAACTCTAGCCAGTAAGTCCAGATATCCAGCTGACCTCAAGCCGCTATCCAGCTGAACATTAGCCGCTATCCAGCCGCCCGCTAGCCGCTATCCAGCCCGCTAGCCACTCACCCGTGTCCGCCGGGCGATGGTGAAGCAGGCCACGGTGCTGGAGTAGATCCGCTCGAGCTGCTCCCGCTCCCAGAACAAGGTCGCTAGCCGCTATCCAGCCGTCGCTAGCCGCTATCCAGCCGCCCGCTAGCCGCTATCCAGCCCGCTAGCCACTCACCCGTGTCCGCCGGGCGATGGTGAAGCAGGCCACGGTGCTGGAGTAGATCCGCTCGAGCTGCTCCTGCTCCCAGTACAAGTCGCTAGCCGCTATCCAGCCGCCCGCTAGCCGCTATCCATCTGATCACTAGCTGCTATCTGTGCCGGTATGCACAATACTAAATCTCTTCATATCTTATCTTGATCACGTTCACAGTGTCAGCACATTTATCACGTATAGTGCTGATGCTGTGACGTCATTTACCTTTAATCTATATCGTATAAATAGTCACGCAGTTCGTGTTAATAAACAGACTAACATCAGAGACTAATTGTTATTGACTAATTGTTAGTAGTATGTTTACTGTCTTGAATACCAACTGTCTTATTCATACGGTCTCCCAACAGTGGCACAAATTGGTGACCCCGACGAAGATGGCACAAATTGGTGACCCCGACGAAGAAGACGACCCTGACGAAGATGACACACTATCCATCCAACCTCTAGCCGCTATCCAGAGATCACGAACGTCTATCCAACTGATCACAAGACAGTTGACGCCAGCACCATTAGCTACAGCTGAAGACTACCACCGCTCACCCGTGTCCGCCGGGCGATGGTGAAGCAGGCGACGGTGCTGGAATAGATTCGCTCGAGCTGCTCCTGCTCCCAGTACAAGTCGGGCGTGTCTAACAGGTCTGACTCCACGTTCAGCTGGTGCCGTAAGGAGAACAGCTCGCCTAGCTTGCGGACGATCTGTGAAGAACAAGGTTTCATTCATACAGGGCGACTTTGTTATCAGTATCCAAATGTTTTTAATAAGATCGTTAGAACAATTTGACAATACAACTTTATCGTAATTATTTTTAATTGTGGTATTTTTCGCAAAAAAAATTATTTAAAGTCTAATCCGCGGGTGCCCATATCTTAAGTTTTAAAGGTTATTGCTTATTTTCGCTCACCGTTATGTCTATTAAGCTTTGCAGTTAACTGTGTGCACGTATTTTTCCATGAACGAAGCAAATTTTCCACGTGAGTCAATTTGGAAAACGCGCGCAGCGGATGAAAATAATTAAATATGGAGAAAAGTTTTGTTTTCTTTACGTAAATCAATTAAGTTACTGATTCTGAGTCGATCCTGAAAATTTGGATAGTGATACAAAAATCACCCTGTATAATAACGTCTCAGAGGCGACTTTACTTACAGTGCAGCGCACGGTTCTCGTCATGCGCCTCATATTATTACTATAGTCTGGTCGCCGAGCACGTAGAATCCCGTCCAATGACCCAAAGCTACCCATCCTTATCGCTCGCGCGTAATTATATTGCTGTCGCGACTTTGGGACGGGCGCCCGCAGTGGGTAGCTTGAGGTCATTGGACGGGATTCTACGTGCTCACGGACCAGGCTTTACCTATCCTTATCGCTCGAGAGTAATATTGCTGTCGCGCTCGCACACCCAATGCTGCCGCCCGTCGCGACAGCAATATAATTACCCGCGAGCGATAAGGATAGGTAGCTTGGGGTCATTGGACAAAATTCTACGTGCTCGGCGACCAGACTTTAGAGTGCGCTAGGTTAATGACTGCAGATGGGCGCTAAATGGGCTAGAGACGCCTCTTAAAACATTTTAAAATAAATGTGGCGTTTCGATCTTACTCAAAACAATTGAGACCAATACCAAAGAATTAATTACATTAAGTACCAAAAAATCAACAATCAATCACAGACAAAATCTTTGACTTAAATTGAATTGAGTTTTGAGTGTATTTTTTTTTTGTGATAAGATACAAACTTGGAATCATCATGTGAACCAACAATTCAACATTCTTCAGATCTTTAATCAGCTGTCCAACACTATTCTGAATCAATTTCTGAATTCTGATGGACTATTAAAATCGAACTTAAACTAGCTATAGTCTGGTCTGTGAGCACGTAAAATTTTGTCCAATGACCCCAAGCTACCCATGCTTATCGCTCGCGCGTAATTATGTTGCTGTCGCGCTCGCACACTCACTGCGGGCGCCCGTCGCACAGTCGCGACAGCAATATAATTACGCGCGAGCGATAAGGATGGGTAGCTTGGGGTCATTGGTCAAAATTCTACGTGCTTACAGACCGAGCTTTAGTGGTTGTCTCACCTCTTTCTTATCCACGTTGGCTGCTCCATGCCTCTCCATCAACGAGGAGTGCTGCCTGACCGCCGCCGCTAGGGCTTCCAGCCGCGACTCCCAGGCCCCCAGCCTGGCCGACTGGGTCATGGCGTGGCTGGAATAAAGAATTTCGAATCATATGCTGGAAGTTTGTTCGTTCGTTTCAGCCGAAAGACGTCCACTGCTGGACAAAGGCCTCCACCAAGGATTTCCACAAAAACCGGTCCTGCGCCGCTCGCATCCAGGCGCCTCCCGCGACCTTCACCAGATCGTCGGTCCACCTAGTGGGAGGCCTGCCCACGCTACGTCTTCCGGCTCGTGGTCGCCACTCAAGAACTGGAATGATGATGATGGAATGATGCTGGAAGTGTAGAGTCCGAAATTGTTTGTAGGTTGAAATGATGGCAAAATTAACTGAAAGTTACTTCAACGAATCAAGCCGACTGGGTCATGGTCTGGACAAGTAAAACAAATGACTTGGAGTTTTAAACTCAAAGCGTAGAGTAGGAAATTGTAAGTTGAAATACTGGCATGTTTCTTTGTCTAGCCTTAGGTGACTAATTTAGAGGAGGTGGAATTGTGTAAAGCAATCGTAATCATTTGACAGTTCATAACGTGCGATTATTCTGTCAAACGCTTTGTTTAACTGAATTTATCGTCGTAATGAACTGTCAAATGATTACGATTGCTTTACACAATTCCACCTCTGCTTCCAAATGATAACATGTGCCAATGTCATGAAGGATTACCAAGTGAAGACCCTTATTAATCTTGCTTGTACAATCATCCTTGATGACATGGGTGAAGCTGATTTATAAATAAAGCATAATTACCTGAATGTGAACTTCTCCAATAAGTTATCTTTGTGAGGCACCAGCACAAACCCTTCTTCTTGTAGGTAGCATTTCTTCCTATGTAAACAAACAAATCAATTTAAAAAATGTCTCTTATGAACCAGTTTGGCCCTAAGGCTAATTAGAGAACGCCAAATGGTATTAAGTTGCCTTATGTACTGTGTTTTAAGTGCATATAAGTTGAGAATAAATTGAATACTTACGCATTTGGTTGATAGCAGTAGGTCATGACTTCTCTTTCCTTTTCAACCACATCTCTTGGGTAGCTGTCTACTTCAAACCTAAATAAAAGTAGACATTTTGTTTAGCAGAACAAAAGTAATGAACTAAAAACTAAATCTTTAATATTCTTTAATTAGGTAGATCTATACCAAAAAAATGACCAAAGTATTTTATTTTCAAAAATTTTAGGAGAATTAATTTTAAGATTCATGATAAATGAACTTTTTAGAGTGGTTGACTGTTTGATCATAAAATTTTTCAAGTTATTTCATAAATTGTGTTGGCATTACTATCCTTTAAACTGCTTATTACATTAATGCACCAAATAAATGTTTTTCTTTCATTGTAATTGCAATATAAAAACAAGAATGCAATAATAATATGACCTTGTTATTGGTCTTGAGATGAAGTGAACTTGCCCAGATAAGGCATAATAACTTTTGGTATACAGTAGAATCCCGATTATCCGGATCAATTAAAACCAGGGGTGTTCCGGATAATCGAAAATCCGGATAATCGATTTCAAAGTAAAATCAAACAAAAATTAACTTTTTACAATAGAAAGGGTTTTCAATACATCATTTAGAGTCGAAAAATCGACATCTTAGACCATTGGATGAATCCATTTCTTTTAACAATGAACTAAGACGACGTCCGTACCGTGTTACGGTGGCGGTGCCTTCCGTTTTTATGAGTCCGGCCAGACCCTAAATCGGTAATTAGAAACCGTGAAGAATGAATCCGGATAATCGGATATCCGGATAATCGAAGTCCGGATAATCGAGATTCTACTGTAAATTAATTTATGTAACAAGCTAAAGAAACAATAATTGTCAATTATTATTTTACCTGCGAACTAAGTCTAACACATTGCTGGCCTCCAGCTCAGTACAATTCCAGAACACCACGGCTCCTTCGCGGAAGAATATGATCTGTCTTGGCTCCGAGCCAACGGAGTACACTGCATTGGCTATCACCACATCGCCCACCTCTTGTGCTTGGAGCCTGGTGGAAACAAATAAGTGTAATTCCTATTACAGGTTTTAGAAACAAATTGTAGTAACCAAAAAACATAAGGCATACCATTTAGTATTAAGTAACATCTAGGTACTGGCACTAGTAAATAATTCCAGCTATAGCTGGAATATAAGTAAATATAAAGTGTCTTATAAGACACTTTTTACTATTCAAATAAATAAACTTTACTTTCAATATTTCACATGATTTCACATCATTGCATCACTCAGTGAACAATGGTAATAACTCAAAAAATACTTTACGTGGCCGGTTCGTAGAGCTTCTGCTGCACCAGGGCCTCTTTCAAACCCTTCAGGTCATAGCTGTTTGCAGTCACGTACGCCAGAGTTAGGTAATGACCTTCCTTCTTCGTCAGATCATCTAAATCAGCCTTCTTGTGAATTATCTTCTTTTTCAACGGTATACTCGAGTTTTCTAAGGCTACGGTAGGGTGAATAGCATCGCTGGAGCTTTTCCTCGCTATTATAACACGGGGCAAGTTAAATAAATCTCTCTTTATCGAGAAAAACCTACACTGCTGCGAGATTTGCTCCGGCATATTCAAACATTTTATATAAGAACTACGCACTGAATTACACACAATTCTGGATAAATAGACCGTCATATTGATAGCGATAAGTAAATATTTTAAGAAAATATCTAACTTGAGCTTAAATAAAAATTATTACATAAAATATTGAGGTTATCTGCAAAGTTTACTTTTTCGAAGCTGTCATTTTTGACATTTTGACAATTTGAAAATTTTTTTGACGTTTTTTTATTTTAAGCTAAAAGAAATATTTTATACATCTTAACAATCAAAGTTTCAGTACAATAAAAATAATTGTTTATTAATAAATTCTACATTCATTTAATGCAAATAAAGCATACTATGTGTTTATTTAATCAGATTTAATCACACAAGTTTTTTTTTCAATCGTTGTTTCTTTTGTGATTTTATGATAATGTTACTTGATAAAAACTGCACTAACAGACATTTGTTATTATGATGACCATCTACTTGTATTAGAATTTACTTCAGTTTAGTATTATCACAGATTGACTAGAAAATACCAAGGTTTGGTGATGAACACTCAATTTTAGAACTTTATTATTCTTTTTGAAATAAAACATGTTGATTTTGATTAAAATATTTTATACTTTCAGCAAATCACATTTATTTTCTTCACATTTAAAGGCACTAACCACCAGTCAATCAATACTCATTTATTAGGTCTGGAACGGGCATAATCATCGTCAATACTAACTAACTACATAATAAATACATAATACTACTTACAACATTTGACTTAAATATACATTTTTCATTTTCATTTAAATTTTTACACAAAATAATTATTTACAAACTAATCTTGAACAGACTTCAAACTGAATAGACAAAGTTTAATTAATATTTTAGTTTCCTTTGATCACCTCTAAATAAATTATAGCCTGACCAGGAACATAAAAACCCTGGCATAGAGGNACCGGCAGACAGTGGTGACTGAGTTTGTTGCGGCGCTTCTTCTCAGCACTTGCCAAATGTTGGTCTCGAAGCGCTGGTAGGGTAAAAAGATTATGAGACATGTAGAGGCTCCTTAAGAGCAAAATGACGATTTGTAAGAACTATTTATTAGTCCAAACAAATAAAGAAATTTTGACTTTGACTTTGAAAAATCTTGCTTGTCCAATATCATCCTTGTTTGACATGGTTGAAGCTGATTTATAAATAAAGCGTATTTACCTGAATGTGAACTTCTCCAATAAGTTATCCTTGTGAGGCACCAGCACAAACCCTTCTTCTTGTAGGTAGCATTTCTTCCTGTTTTAAAAAAAAATAATTTAAAAAATGTCTCTTATGAACCAGTTTGGCCCTAAGGCTAATTAGAGAACGCCAAATGGTATTAAGTTGCCTTATGTACTGTGTTTTAAGTGTATATAAGTTGAGAATAAATTGAATACTTACGCATTTGGTTGATAGCAGTAGGTCATGACTTCTCTCTCCTTTTCAACCACGTCTCTTGGGTAGCTGTCTACTTCAAACCTAAAAGTAGACATTTTGTTTAGTAGAATAAAAGTAATGAACTAAAAACTAAATCCTACTAATATTATAAATGCGAAAGTTTGTGTGGATGTCTGGATGTTTGTTACTCTTTCACGCAAAAACTATCTTTAATAGTCTTTAAATTTTGAAAATTAAATTTTTATGTTCATAGTTATAACCTTTTTAGAATGGTTGGCTGTTTGAACATAACATTTTTCAAGTTATTTCATAAATTTTATTGGCATAACATTAAACTTAAAAAATCCTGCTTATTAAATTAATTGAATTAATTAAGTGATCCAAATAAATGTTTTTCTTTCTTTCTAATTGGAATATAAAAACAAGACATCAATATGACCTTGAGATGAAGTGAAATTGCCCATATAAAGCATAATAACTTTTGGTTTATATGAATTTATGCAAAAATAATTATCAATAATAATTTTACCTGCGAACCAAGTCTAACACATTGCTGGCCTCTAACTCAGTGCAATTCCAGAACACCACAGCACCTTCGCGGAAGAATATGATCTGTCTTGGCTCTGAGCCAACGGAGTACACCGCATTGGCTATCACCACATCGCCCACCTCTTGTGCTTGGAGCCTGGTGAAAAAATACAGTGTGACTCCTATTACAGGTTTTAGAAACAAATTGTTGTAACCAAAAAACATAAGGCATATCCATTTAGTATTAAGTAACATCTAGGTACTGGTAATAATAAATAATTTTCGCTATAAGACACTTTTTACTATTCAAATAAATAAACTTTACTTTCAATGTTTCACATGATTTCACATCATTGCATCAGATATTGAACAATGGTAATAACTCAAGAAATACTTTACGTGGCCGGTTCGTAGAGCTTCTGCTGCACCAGGGCCTCTTTCAAACCCTTCAGGTCATAGCTGTTTGCAGTCACGTACGCCAGAGTTAGGTAATGACCTTCCTTCTTCGTCAGATCATCTAAATCAGCTTTCTTGTGAATTATCTTCTTTTTCAACGGTATACTCGAGTTTTCTAAGGCTACGGTAGGGTGAATAGCATCGCTGGAGCTTTTCCTCGCTATTATAACACGGGGCAAGTTAAATAAATCTCTCTTTATCGAGAAAAACCTACACTGCTGCGACATTTGCTCCGGCATATTCAAACATTTTATATAAGAACTACGCACTGAATTACACACAATTCTGGATAAATATACCGTCATATTGATAGCGATAAGTAAATATTTTAAGAAAATATCTAACTTGAGCTTAAATAAAAATTATTACATAAAATATTGAGGTTATCTGCAAAGTTTACTTCATAGAGAAAAGTATAGGTTTACTTTTCCGAAGCTGTCATTTTTGACATTTTGACAATTTGAAATTTTTTTTGACGTTTTTTTATTTAAGGCAAAAAGAAATATTTTATACAATACATCCTAACAATCAAAGTTTCAGTACAATAAAAATAATTGTTTACTTAAGAAATTCTACATTCATTTAATGCAAATAAAGCATACTATGTGTGCGCGCACACGGCGCGCTGTCATCCAGCGGGAGCGGGGCGCGGGAGGCGGAGCATCGACCGCCGCACGCGCCGCGCCGCCCGTCGCTTCGGCCTATTCGCCGCCGCTCCGGCACCCGATCGCACGCGTCCACCTAATTCTTTACAATCACAATTTCATTGTTTAACAAGTACATAAATGTCATGTTTTAAAAGAGTACTTCGTATCATTTACTTCTCCCGAACACTATGTGTTTATTTAATTAGATTTATTCACACAATTTTTTTTTTAGATCGTTGATTTTTTATTTTGTGATTTTATGATAATGTTACTTGATAAGAACTGCACTAACAGATATTTGTTAATATGATGACCATCTACTTGTATTAAAATTTACTTCAGTTTAGTATTATCACAGGTTGACTAGAAAATACCAAGGTTTGGTGATGAACACTCAATTTTAGAGCTTTGTTATTGTGCCGATTTCTTTTTGAAATAAAACATGTTGATTTTGATTAAAATATTTTATATTTTCAGCTAATCACATTTATTTTCTTCACATTAAAATTTAAAGGCACTAACCACCAGTCAATCAATACTCATTTATTAGGTTTGGAACCCGCTTTATGCCTTAATCATCTCGTCAATACTAACTACCTACATTAAATACATAATACTAGCTACTTACAACATTTGACTTAAATAATATACATTTTTCATTTTCATTCTTTTTACACAAAATAATTATTTACAAACTAATCTTGAACAGACTTCAAACTGAATAGACAAAGTTGAATTAATATTTTAGTTTCCTTTGATCACCTATAAATAAATTACACGGCGCGCGCGCAAGGGTGACTTGTCACTGTGACAGTATGTCTCTCACTCTCTCCATACATAAGAATAAGTACTACAAGGTCTCACTTCTCTTTATAAAATTAAAAGAGAAAGATATAGGCGATTATCACATCGCACCACGCTCCGCCACGGTCCGCGTGGCGATATAATATAACGAATCCCGCGCGCAAACGCGTTGTCAGTGTGTTGTGCCGCGCGTGTTTTCTATACAAACTGAGGTAGGTGCAACTTGCATATAATGATTAAATGTGTCGTCCCGCGTCAATGATATACTATAAAAACATCTTAGTCCCGCGTACCGCGGCGGAGCGCGGTGCAGTGTGATAATCGCCATACTGTCGCGGTGACAAAAAGCCACTCGTGAGCGCATACATATATAGATGACCCACGCTGAACTGTCCCACCAAACTCAATGACAGGGGGGCGCTACCATCGTTCAACTATAAGGTTTCCAACATGGCAAAAATCGGAACCAGCGATCCGGTATTGACGGTGGCGCCCCACTGTCAATGTCATGGACAGGACAGTTCAGTATTTTGGAACTATACTTAGCGACAGCGCCCATTGGGCGACAAAACGCGGCGACAGACGCGGCCACAAAACGTATGCGCGCGTCTTTTGTCGCCCAATGTGCGCTGTTGCTTATTACTGTCGATAGCAAAAATAATTATAGTTCCAAAATACTGAACTGTCCTATGCATGACATTGACAGTGGCGCGCCGTTTGCCATGTTGGAAACCATATAGTTGAACGATGGTAGCGCCCCCCTGTCATTGTTGAGTTTGGTGGGACAATTCAGCGTGGGTCATCTAGACGATAATTTTTGACATCTCCCTTTCATCGATTTCGGCCACTGGCCGTCAGTGTTGCCAGAGCTAACCTACAAGCGTGTTGCCATCTTCTTGCGTGAGCAAGGCATGTAATTTAGCCGCCATCTCGGGGCCCACGCGGCGCCCGCGCACCCCCCGGGCCCCCGCGCGGGACACACACACGTCCGCCACGGGGGTCACGCCAGAAGAAATGAAGGCCTAGAAAGTAGGAAATAAAATAGTATGAAAGTTGCACCAGCTTTAAATTTAATTTAGACAAACTAGACTTTTGTTAAAGTGAAAGTAAGGTGGTGCGACCCAGTGTTAAGATAAGATAAGATAAGATAAGCATTTATTGTTAATTGTGTTGATACAGTGGTGTTACATAAAAGGCACATAATGCTAAAGTACACAATTTATCCATTTCGGACGTACAATATAAATTGTCAAAAACATAATTATTAATTGGATTATTATTTGCAATGTCAGTTATTATAAAATTATTCATTACATTTTACATTACATTAAAATATTCATTTAAGGCGATTAGAGTCCTCAATCCGCGTCAAATGGTCATTTTGTAAAGCCTACTCCTCTTTTACTGCTGGACAGAAATAGTTGAAAAAAATATATGTTATACAACAGTTCAAGGACTACATTTGTGACGTTTGAATTTTCGCTAAGTTTCTTTGTTTTGGATTAAAAAAAAAAAACGGGACATCGATTTTTTACTTAAATTCCCTACTCCTCCGAAACGGCTATGTTAATTTAAAAGATTTTTGCACGAATAGATTAGGAATTCTTTAATCTTTAAATGACACGTTGCGTTTTTCAATCGAACATTACTTTAATTCATAAATTTTACTTTTGATAAATTCCGAACGTTTTGCTGTTGAGGGGGCCTTCGCGGGGTGCGGGCGGCAGTCGGCCGCTGGCCTTCAGACGNATCAAATATCTTTTAGTATCTTTTATAGTTATCATGTATAAGCAGTATTTAGGGGGTGCTCAATACTTTTGGCCAAGGCTGTATATAGATGACCCACGCTGAACTGTCCCACCAAACTCAATGACAGGGGGCGCTACCATCGTTCAACTATATGGTTTCCAACATGGCAAAAATCGGAACCAGCGATCCGGTATTGACGGTGGCGCCCCACTGTGTATGTCATGGACAGGACAGTTCAGTATTTTGGAACTATACTTAGCGACAGCGCCCATTGGGCGACAAAACGCGGCGAGAGACGCAGCCAAAAAACGCATGCGCGCGTTATTTGTCGCCCAATGTGCGCTGTCGCATAAGCACTGTCGATAGCAAAAATAAATTAACAATAATTTTTGACATCTCCCTTTCATCGTTTTCGGCCACAGGCCGTCACTGTGTTGCCAGTGCTAACCTACAAGCGTGTTGCCATCTTCTTGCGTGAGCAAGGCGTGTAGTTTAGCCGCCATCTCGGGGCCCACGCGGCGCCCGCGCGCCCCCGGGGCCCCCGCGCGGGACACACTCACGTCCGCCACGGGGGTCACGCCAGATGAGAGGAAGGCCTGGAAAACAAAAATATCTAACATGTTTAAACGATTTCGATGCATGCAGAAGTCTGAAACACAGGTAAATCGATTATCTAGGTTTTGGAAGGTGAATTACTGCGTACCTAGCTGCTGTGACGTCACATAGACGCTCTAGTTGGTTCGGACGGGGCAAACGAGTGAGTGACGAGTGAGTGCGAGGGAAAGTCACATTCCAGCGAGGTGCGCAGTTAGCTGTATTGGGTTGTACACATCTCATTAATAAACACAAAAATGGCATATTTTATGACTTCGCAATGTATAACACTTGCATAAAATTTAAATAGCTTGAAAACCAATTATTTCCAATGCAATAATGGAGTTTATTGAGCCAAACATAAGTTCAGGGTTTATTTTTTCCCTTCGCTTACCTCATAAAGAGCGAGAGGCGACTTAAACTCCTCACACAGTGACCGGGAGGTCTCCAAGCTCGAGTTTGGCAGCACTGCTATGATCTGTTGCCATAACCGCGCTAAGCCGTTACCTGAAACATTTCATCATCGTCAAGGTAAAAAATCTTATCGATGATTTTAAGCGACAAACGTATGAACTTATCGCATGAAATCGATAAAATAGTGCAATAAAAGATTATCGCGGCGCGCATCCTAAGTCTCTCTAATTTAATTATTTAGTCTATTTGATGAAAAAATTAGAAAGGAGGGCTTAGTGTGAGTTTACATCTAACGTCGTCACTAGTGTGAGTAGGGAGCGCGTAAAAAAATGACATGAAATGTATGACGGATTGTATACGCCCTTAGCGGAACCTTAAAGAACTAAAATTTTCATATATTTTTTAACGCGCTCTCTAGTGAGGACGTTTCGTCCTCCCTCAGAAAAGTTTTTCAAAAATAAATAATTCTTCCGGTTTCATAATTTCGAGATTAGGAAAACAACCGTCGGTATCGAATTACCCACCATCTTTGTCCACAGTGACGCTGTTTTTCTTGTCGCCTCTCATGTAGAACTCTGCCTGTTCGTCCCACGACTTCTTAGCGTTCCTGAAAGTAAATTAAATTGCTAAACTGTAGTTCGTCATGTCATGTCACACTAATGCAAAGGTTTTACTATGGATAATGAGCTCCTCCTATGTATTTCTGATTAATTTCGTTGCGGGTCCAATGACAGTTTAACTTTCCCCCGGGACAAACTTGACCGTCACTGGTTGAGTTCTTTTTTATTATTTTTTATTTATTTATTATTACCTAATATATTTAGCCGTTACATGTTTGATTTTATTTAAATAGTGTCTTAAATCCTCTTGAGGTTTGTCCAGACATTATTGTTCTCTATACAAATTAAATAAACGTTTTGGTATTTATAAGCATTCACAACTTGTATAGGCATACAAAACATTATTTTAGCGGGTGCGCACTACTTTTGGCAGTCTAGCTGTAGATCCTGGCTACACAGGAGTTGCAGCGGTGGGAACAAGAGGTGGGAAGGGTCCCGTAACATGGACAACTCACTTGTGCGGCGCCTCGGCGATGGCCTTCGTGAACTGAACAATCAGCAGCGCAAGTTCACTCGGCGTTTCCACCATCACCGTATCGCAGCTCGCGGTTACCAACAAATCTGCAAGGAAAAAGTAAGCATTATAAAATTGTATTGACAATCCAAACCTAAATTTATACACTAGTCATCAAATAAATCGACCTTCCCGCGACGCGAACTTTAAAGATTTTCTTCTGACACAATCATGGTACCCCAACAATATTGGTGTTATTATTTGAATGAAAGCCCAATAAATATCCTTAAAGAAAAACACATTTCATCTTCTATCTATCTATATAAATAAAAATGAATTGCTGTTCGTTAGTCTGATTAAAACTCGAGAACGGCTGGGTCGATTGAGCTGATTTTGGTTTTAAAATGTTTGTCGTAGTCCAGGGTAGGTCTAAACGGTGAGCAAATAAGTAAAAATTGCGATGGCTTATTTATTGCCTTTAAGGCGGAACAGAGTTCGCCAGGTCAGCTAGTTTCTTAATAAATGATTAACATATACCATAAATGTGACTTGAAAAAAGACCTCACTTTGGGCTCACCTCTGGGATCAATTATACCAATTTTTATGGTGATAAAACCAAATAATGAGCACATATTTCGTCTTTAACAGATGGATAGCGATTAATCCCAACTTAACAGTTTTATAGCCATAAAAGTTGGATCAAGCGTAACTACCTATTTTTTGAAGAAGTGACTGGATTCTTCTACAGACACAATTTTGGGGTAAAAACCTTTCCTTTAATGAAATGAAGTTTAGAACTAGGCTTTTAAATGGTGCCAATATTGGTGGGAAGTGGGGATGCATACGTTTGAAAGTGCTTGTCGCGGGAGGGTCGATTTATTTGATGTCGAGTGTATATCACGAGTACAATAAATTATAAACCCTTGGACATTATTTGATGTACCTTAGAAAATTTGTGTAAAATTAAATTGTGACAAGCTAACCTGTTATGGCCATTTCTAATTCCAGTTCAGTCATTTTCCTGCTATTTACAGTTTGGCGTCCCGATTTTCTGAAATGAAGAACATATTTTTATTTTTACTTGTGCTGCCAGTATAAGCCAGGGAAAAGTTAACTCTTTTAATCTACTCGCTAGAAATTAATTGAAATAGAAGGAGTTTATTAAAACTTTGATCAATCCGTCTACTCAATCTATACTAATATTATAGCCTGACCAGGAACATAGAAACCCTCGCCATGTTGCGGAAAACTAATGGTACTAATTTCTTTTTTTTTTTTTTTTTTTTTTTTTTCCACAACGAGGAAGCTCTTGGCCTGTATCTCACCTGATGGTAAGTGACGATCAGGCCGAAGGTGGAAGCGAGCTTCACCCGGAATCCTCAACCACGGAGGAACTGGCTATCTTATCTCTAACTGCCGGAACACAACAATGCTTTTAACATTGTTGTTATGGCGACAGACTTAGGTAAGATGGTGGTAGCTAGCCAGGCGGTTGAATTTTATGGAATTGGGAAAGAAGTACCGAGTTTGAAGCGTTCATGAGCAGACATTGCAGTTGAATATTCAAGTTCTGAATTTGATTATTGATGAATAATAAAATAAATCCTACTAGCTCGATTGATGGTTTCATTTAATTTATTTAAACCAGGTTACCTTTAATAATATTTTTCGTTAGTTTATGAAAATATCAAATTAGCCCGTAATCCTGAATCCTGATACATAAATTTAGCCTATTAATTTAACACATGTACGACTGTACTCAGTGTTGCACTATCAAATGCAATTGAAGCGCCTCTATGCCAGGGTTTTTATGTTCCTGGTCAGGCTATATAAAGAGGTAAAGTTTGTGTGTTTGTATATTTGTTAAATTGTTAGGGGTAATCTCGGGATCTACTGAATCGATTTTAAAAATTCTTTCACCAATAGAAAGTCACATTATTGCTGAGTGTCATAGGTTATATAAAAAACCGAAAAACTCCACGCGGGCGGAAAGCTACTTATAAATAAGCGCCTAAGGCGGAAACGAACCCACAAACTCGGGCGGGCCACTGCTCTTCCATCTGAGCTACTTAGACACTGGATCCGCCTACTCACTTGAAGAAGTCCTTAGCCCCGAACACGACCAGCGTCAGTTCCCTGTCCACCATCTCCCTCAGCTGTCCGACGTGTCGCGAGAGCGTCTTCCCCGACACGTGCTCGTGTATGTCGTCCGCTGTGATGACGTAAAGCGCGCGCGCGCACGCCTCCTTGTTGGATGATAGCGCTAACTGAAAAAGAGAACTATTTTTTTAAAAGGCTCTTTAAATTATTTTTCTTTCTAAAGGTCATTGAGTAAATCCCGGATTCGGCGAAATATTTCCTACAGAAATCAAAGTAGTTGTAAATTATTGAGTGTTAATCCACATTTCATTTGGTATATTTCAATTGAGTGTCCGTGAATGGCGGGCCGATCATTTAACACCAGAGAGAATTATCTGCAATGGGCACAGCAACTCACTCTAGTGCCAGACTGCAGATGAACTGGCCAAAAAGGGATTCCAAAAAAAACCAACATTGCTGTGCATTAAAAAAGACGAAACACTGGTCTTGTATGTGATTACGGAAAAAGTTAAGTTTAAAACAAAAAATGGTCAAAAAAGTTTGCCACATCATCAGACTAAGGTCAAAATGTCTGCAAAGAATCAAATATTTAACTGCTGATATAGTAGTAATAATATCACAAACTCCTTACATTTCCCCCTGTGTCGCACAGCGTCGGAGGCACAGTCCGCGTCCACACCACAAGCCCGGGATGGAATAGGTCTGGCGCGGGAACGATACGCGCGCCCGCTGCTTCCATCTCTACTGGTCATGTACCGTAGAGACTAGATCCAGTACGTCGCCTACGCCGCAAAGGGGCGAACATCATACAAATGATGAAAAATTTTGTTAAGTATACAGAATGCTCCATTCTTCAGGCACTATGTTCCTTTTTGCTCTCCTGAATAATACTATAAAAAAAACGTTCGCCCCTTTTTGTCGACGATACCACAGCTAAAGTCCGGTCGCCGGACAGATAGAATTTCGTCTCGCGCTCGCACACTCACTGCGGCCGCCCGTCGCACAGTCGCGACAGCAATATAATTAATTACGCGCGAGCGATAAGAATGGGTAGCTTGGGGTCATTGGACGAAATTCTATCTGCTGGGCGACCGGACTTTACTCACATTTCCCCCTGTGTCGCACAGTGTCGGAGGCACAGTCCGCGTCCACACCACAAGTCCAGGATGGAATAGGTCTGGGGCAGGGACGATACGCGCGCCCGCCGCTGCTGCTTCGGTCTGGACGTTAGCCATGTACCATTCGGCAGCGAGGGTTGGGTGGATCTCTATGTTCATATGCTAAAAATCAATAAAGAATCAATAATTAAGCTCAGAAAATGTCAATTATTGTTTTTCTGAGCTGACATATTGCAGAATTTTGCAATGATGTATTCCTTACTAGATCTTGCCTATACTAAAATTTGTCAAAACTAGGTCAAGAGTTCAGGTGCAACAAGCTCTGAAAAACTGACAGAAATCTTTTATATTTAGGCTTGATTTCCTTCTATACAGTAGAATCTCGACTATCCGGACTTCGATTATCCGGATATCCGATTATCCAAACTCATTCTTCACGGTTTCTAATTACCGATTTAGGATCTGGACCCATAAAAACGGAAGGCGCCGCCACCGTAACATGGCACGGACGTCTTTTTAGTTCATTGTTAAAAGAAATGGATAACCAATGGGCTAAAATTTAGATTTATAGACTCTAAAATGATGTATTGAACACCCTTTCTATTGTAAAAAGTTAATTATTGTTTGATTTTACTTTGAAATCGATTATCCGGATTTTCGATTATCCAGAACACCCTTGGTTTTAATTGATCCGGATAATCGGGATTCTACTGTACTAACATTGGTATAAAAAAAAAACAATTACTTGTACGCTGAGCTGACATAAATATTAAGGAATTACTTATAGCTAATTCACATAATATCAAATAAGGAAAGATAAGGTCTTGGGTAACAATAAAATACCTTCATACACTCTCCAGGCTTGTAAATCTTGTTCATTTCGTTTGCAGCTTTCTTTGCTAACTTTTCTGCTGCTTGCTTTTCTTTCAAAGACTGCTTACTGACTTTTGTCTTCTTATTCTCAGTATTTTCCGAACTCCCTACACCAAAAAGTGTTATTAGCTATAGTCTGTGACCATGTAGAATTTTGTCCAATGACCCCAAGCTACCCATCCTTATCGCTCGCGCGTAATTATGTTGCTGTCGCGTTCGCACACTCACTGCGGGCACCCGTCGCACAGTAGCTTGGGGTCATTGGAAAAAATTCTACGTGCTCACAGACCGGGCTTTAGTTCATCATCACCATCATCATGAAGAAGAGACTACTTACCTAATTATACAGTTCAACAACAACAAAACCCCTTCCAATTCTTCTGAGCCATTTTAACCCTCACCCTCAAGCCCCGTGAATCGAGTCACAATAGATAAAATTGTTTCATGGTAATATGCCTCCCCAACCCATCTGGCCAGTGTGGGGGGTGTAGGCCAAATTCTCCATTTACCTCTGGTAAATTAAAATGTCGTGATCCTGCAGTGGGAACTAAAAATGACCAGAGGGCTACGTGAGTTTTTTCACTCACTAGTGAGCGCGTCAAAAAATGACATTAAATGTATGACCGCCTCTGTGGTCTAGTGGTAAGACCACCTGCTTCAGACGCAGAGGTCCCGGGTTCGATTCCCAGTGGGGGCAGATTTTTCTGTTCGGTTTGGTTGGTGGTAGGGTTTGTTCTAAGTCCGCCTGGCTAGCTACCACCATCTTACCTAAGTCTGTCGCCATAACAACAATGTTAACAGCATTATTGTGTTCCGGCAGTTAGAGGTAAGATAGCCAGTTCCTCCGTGGTTGAGGATTCCGGGTGGAAGCGAGCTTCACCCGGAATCCTCAATTCTGTTCGGTTTGGTTGGTGGTAGGGATCGTTCTAAGTCCGCCTGGCTAGCTACCACCATCTTACCTAAGTCTGTCGCCATAACAACAATGTTAACAGCATTATTGTGTTCCGGCAGTTAGAGGTAAGATAGCCAGTTCCTCCGTGGTTGAGGATTCCGGGTGAAGCTCGCTTCCACCTTCGGCCTGATCGTCACTTACCATCAGGTGAGATACAGGCCAAGAGCTTCCTCGTTGTGGATAAAAAAAAAAAAAAATGACAGATTGTACAGAGCCCCTGGCGGGAAACTTTCAAAAACTAAAATTTTCATATATTTTTTAATCAATGTAAACTCACACTCAGCCCACTGGTGATGATGCAACCGCATGAGGTTTGATGGGTTAACTTACCAATACTCCTTCTCTTTCCCCTGTCCCTGGTTTTCTGGGCTCTAGATGTGCCGGGCATGTTTACAGCAGTTAGGCCTTCATCGTCATCTGTACCAAAAAGGTAAGATAGATTAAATAAAGACTCCAGACATATGGATAAACTCACCCATTTAACTTATAAAGTACAGCAGTATCTATTCTAAGTCGGCCGTTTGGTGTAGTGGTTCAGAACGGACTACTATGCCGAGAGGTCCCGGGTTCGATTCCCGGCCGGGCAGAAATTGAAATGATGAATTTTAATTTCTGTGACGGGTCTGGGTGTTTTCTATGTATGATATGTATGTATTTAAAAAAAAAAAGTATTTAAGTATGTTTGTATCCGTTGTCTAGTACCCATAGTACAAGCTTTGCTTAGTTTGGGGCTAGCGGCGCAGTGTAAAAATGTCCAAGGATATTTATTTATTATTTAAGATCTACACTCGCGAGCAAAAATATGGAATCACCCTATTTGTTTTGAGCGATCATAAGAACTAAATGACTAATAGATGATAATAAAAGTGGTACCATTTTAAAGGTAATATTATAAACTTTAAATTGATACCATAGATCTTAATATCACTCAGAAAAAGACAAGGGGTGATTCCATACTTTTGCTCGTAAGTATATTTAATTTTGATTTAGAGTCTGGATATAATCTGAAGGATGGTAAACAGTCTTTAGTTGCAAGTAAAACATGTAAATTTTATGACTGAATGACCTGAGCTGGAGGCCAGGGCTTGTCGTCGGAAATAAATGTAATAAAGTATTTATTAGGTAACTACCTAACTTCTACTCTATCTAAAATTCAACTTACCAAGTGGAATAGAATCGTCTTGGGTCAAATCCATGTGATGAACTTTCTTTGCCATTATTAACTACTTTAATAGAATTAAACACCGAGGAGAACAACTTATTTAATCTAATTTATGGCTTACAATATGCAATTATAAAAACTACTGACTTTAATATTTCGAAAATGTTGCATTTAGGAAAACAAAACAAACAACGCCGGCCGGTCCAACACAGTGTTGCCAGTCGGGTCTAGTCAGAAATTACCAGAAATATAAAAAAAAGTAACCTTTTNGCGATGATTGTGTAAGGTTGTTCATGGATGGAAAATGAATACAATTGATCATCTAAATTCGAAAAGTGACCAGTCGTATAAACGTTTCATGGATTTGCGTTTTATTATCAAAAATTATTCGCTAAAACTCATTTTTTTTAACAAATAATAAATCAAATTCAAGTTTAAATGCACTCTATGACATTATTTTTAAATTGTCACTATTAATATTTTTTACTGAATAACCTGTAAAGTTAATTCTACAATTTCTGAAAAATCACCTAAAAGTAACCTTGTCATTAGTGTAACCTAAAAGTAACCACAGCAGTTCAAAAGTAACCTAAAAGGTTACAAAAGTAACCTTCTGGCAACACTGGTCCAACAACATCTGTCAAGAATGGCGGAAGTGACAATGACATTGACAATGACTTTGACAGATTTAAGATGAAGTCCACCCAAATATTCGATAATGCAACGCTTACGTATACGACACAAAGATATCAACAATATAATTTGTTGGACCGAATCATCACTTTTGTCTTTTGTCAAACAAAATTGCGGCAAAAGTTCGCAGCTTTTGCTTTGCGGTAAACCTTCGAATTTCATAAATTATAGTTCTCTAGTAAAGGCAATCGCTTTGTCGTTAGTTTGTTTTCAAAAAGTCTATTACAGCAAACCTTCGACAAAAGACTTCCACTTAACAAAATAATTTTATTGTGGATCTCCCAATATTCTACAGAATGTAACTTAGGCCCAGGAACCCAGCCTTGAATTTTTTTCAAAGTAAAAGAAGGAAAGTAAATTCTGCATGAGTGATTGAGCCAAATAGGTAACCTACCTACACAAACGACCGTAAATGAAAAACGTAACAAAATGAAACAATTCGACGCACGAGCCAGCCTATTGATTTCCCATAAAAGCGGAGTAAATCATCCCGGAACCGCAGCGCTTTTGAACGTTTTGTTGAATTCGCAGCTCGTTAATGTTTCAGACAGATGAAATTTATTTTCTACCAGGATTTGCTCTGGTTAAGATTTAGGCTATAACACATTGTTTAACTGGTACACTCTGCTTCACAATTACATTTATAGTCTACCTGCGTTTTATCGTTATTTTTAAGGTGTCGAATCCATGAACCCTCGCACCGAGACTAGACGATGCCACAGAATAAGTTTAGTAATAGTACGATGCGCCGCACCTTCCATTACGCCATTGGTCTCACCATGCTGTAACTGCAAGTTACAATAATTTATTTTTATTTATAAACGTACTTAACTAAAACTAGGTTATTAGCTTTAGCACAAAAAAGCCAGAAAAGTAGTCAACTACACTAGAAAGAAAGAAAGAAAAAATGTTTATTCAGTATCATCGACAATACACTTACAATACTTATTATTATTTAATGAGAAGGTAATAACAATGATACTGAAAAGGTATCCACTCAGCATGGTGTCGTAGCATCTCAGTAGATAATGCCACGACGCTGGTCTTCCGTGGACACTCAAACAGGGAGAGCACTACATGCACATTGCATTAATACTTAAAAGTCCGCGAAGCGCAGTTTCTGACGCAATGACTCAAGAATATGCTTATGATGTTCAAGATCCTGCAACTGCAATGCTTCGCTATCATATCAATTTCAAAAATCTATTGATCATAGCTTTTATGAAAATTTATTACCTACCATGAAAATTCATAAAGAAATTTTCTCCAACACGAAACCTCACCCAGTCCATTAGGCGATTGATTTCCAAACTAAACAACACCTAAAAAATTACGTAATGCAAATATCATACCGGCATTTTTCACTGTCTGTTAAAGTGTTTGCTCTGTCTGAGGGACCCTCACTCGCCCTCCGGCCTCCGCTGCATGCAGTCTGCCTTTGTCTCCGAGGGCGACCGCCCGCGCGCACTCCGCGCCTCGGCTAAAAATAACTTACTCCCGCATCCTTCATAACGAACCAAAATAACAACCGCGCTTTTATAAAAAAAAGGAATTCTATTCGCGTTCTTTTTTCAAAATTGTGTGAATTAAACGATTTTGTTGCGAATCTGTGAACCAGTTGATGCGAAACCAAAATAAACAAAAGAACCGCGAGTGAATGATGCGGGCATAAGAATTTCGTTCGTTCGTACAAATTCGAATATGGATTGGCGCGAAAAACTTTTTGGTAAAGTGCTCGTCAAATCGGGTCAAAGTGGCCAGTTAGAGAATGTGGCGACCATGGAGGGTTTGGTTGACTGTGTGGAGGAAGGTGAGGGTGCCGTGTGTGGAATATACTTTTCTTTCGCGAATATAAGCGACGAGAGTGACGATTTCGGCGTGCGTTTGGAGGAGGTGTATAATAAAGTGCATCCGAGGCTGAAGGTGGTGCAAGTGGTGTTATGGGCGCATGTTGGGACCCCTGAAGGGCCGGTGGAGAGAGAAGCAGGGTTCCACCGGAGCCTGATCGGGAAGCCCTGGTTCGCTGTGCCGTTCCATGATGTGGATACAAAGGTATTTATTTTGTAGGCAGTACAGAAAAACTAATGAATTAGGTAGGTACCAAACTTTTATGGAAAATATAAATACGTAATACCTTGTTAGCTTAGGTAATTTATAATACAAACACACGGGACATGGTGTAAACGGAGAAAAGGACAATTTAAAAAACAAGTTAAAATGTAATCCAGCTTGCCTGAAACATCCCGTTTTTCCTTTGAGAACAAAAATTTATTTCAAACTTAATTTAAATCAAAAGACATTTTATGAAAAGAACCAGTTTTGAATCAAACTCGTTAAAAACAGTTGAAAAGGTTGTTCAATCGGCGAAGTTCGTTCGAAATTTGAATTAGCGATAAATTGGAAGTAACAAAAACCTTGTTATCTTCAATTAGATTCTTAAGAGCGTTTACGTCTAGCGTGGCATGTCAAGTTTAGGTAATTTCGATGCTAGTTTTATTCACACTAAAATAATTATGACTGTGTGCGTGTTCTCACGCTCTATAGTCAAACCAAAATACTTTGATCCACCATCGTAAAAGTATGCCAGGCTGTCAAGTGACAGCTCAAGGAAACTATAAAATCTTCAAATCTTCCAACACCGACTCCATAATTATAAATAATGGTATACATTAGTCCTAATCAATAATAAATACGTAAATTCTTTATCAAATAGTAAATTATCAAAGGTTTTTTACTATTTTGAGAATATTTTATACAGCCTATGTTCGGCAGAAAAATTTTTGAATTTTAATGGTGAGAGATTTTCTCAAATCGGTTCTATTCAAAACAAACTTTTCCTGTTTACTATTCTTTTTTTTATCCGGAAAATGCAGAACATTTCATACCCACCAGCTGCGGGGGCAGCTAGTGGATTATTTGGGGTTCTTCCTACCAGAAGGTGGGTAGCCCCTACACCCACTAAAAACCTGACTGTTTCTGCCATGATCCATATAAGTGATATGAGGGAACGCGGGACATCGCCATTGGCTGTTGCCTGTAGCATTCGTCCTTAGCCGCCACCAGACACCTCCATGTCTAGCGACCGAGGCCTGTTAGGAAGGGACAGTTGGAGACCATAAGCTGTCCTCTTGCGCATAGAGATGAAACGGATAGTTGTTTGGCCGGATACCGGATACCGGATATCCGGCCAGCTGCTAGGCCGGATAGCCGGATATCCGGCGGCCGGATAGTTGGCCCATTGTCTCGTTGCATGTCGTGACGAGTTTAGCGCCACACAGGTGCTTCGAACGCGACCAGTGGGTCTATTCTATTAGTAGACTAGACTAGTCAAACTTTTTGAAAATCGAATCCATCCGAGCAGAATGTCAGATTTTGCCACTTGTCTAGGGGGCAGATCAATTCGGGCGATTTCGGTTGCTATCGTGAGTGTGTGATTGAATAGCGAAAATTAAA